CTACAGTAATAACTGTTTTCCAGTCAGTTCCTCATGGTGGGTGTGTGTGTTGGAAAGGAAACTCTTTTCCCCTTACTCTGTGCCAAAAGACAGCACTGGAGAGTAATGGCTACCGAATAGAGGCTTGAACTGTTTTATATCCAAGGCCAGTGGGTAACTGGTTTACAACACTTATTTTTAGACTAGGCAGGGCTGAAGGGGCAAAGCATCTCGCAAGTCTTTCACCCAGAGAGATTTCTTCTGTATGTCTAGGTCATTGTAGATGAGTGCTTTGGCTCTTGATTCTGGTTATGGCCTCAGTTATAAAAACTAAACTTTTCACAGCTGTTAGAAGTTTCTATAAGCAGCTCCTGAAAGTATGCTGCAGTGCTTCTAGAAGCTTGCAAGCCTCCTGAACTGCCACGTATCTCAGTGCTGAGTCCATAGGACAAGTGGACAATAGATTATTCTGCTAAAAGTCAGAGAGTTTCTAACTTCTGATCAAATAACAGACCTATGCTCCTGCTGCTTGCTGAGTAGAGACTGCCTTATGCCTGAGGTCTACAAAGCAACTGTAAGACAGGCCAGTATTGATTGTGCATGAAAACACTAGCTTCTTGCTGCTCTTACAATATTCCAAGCTCAGTTTTTTTCAGTCCTGGCTGCTAGGGCTTGAGATCGCTTCCTGTGTGGCAAAATTGGGGTGAGCAATCTGGTAACTTCTTGTACCAGACACACAGGTGCCACAAAGATGCGTTGACACTCTGGAGGACAGCAATATGTACTATTTACTCCTGATACGTGCTTCGTGGTCTTCCCTCAAATAGATACTGATTCCAGAGTATCAGTCTTGTGTGATGAGATAGAAGAAGCTTTAAAACTTCAAGGATAGGGTCTAAACCATGAGGTCCTGAACATGTTCAGTGCTCAGGACTCCTGCAAAACTCAACCCACAGCAGAGTGAATCATCCGCTTCCCATACTTGTCTCGATTGCTCAGCCTTTGAGGGCTAAGCTTACATCAACAATCTCTGCGTTTGCAAATAATCAGTGTATATAATTTTTTTTTCCTTCAAGTTTCCATGAAACTGAAGCGTAGAGGTTTTCTTTCTGACACTGATCTGTACATCCAGAAAAAAATTTCAACTTAAGCAGACAATCAACTGTCTGGTCAGTGTCTTGTTCTCCTGACAGGCTTCTCAAAGCACTCCAGTAGTAGCAAACCAGATGATTTATTAGCTGCTAAACCATACAAGTTGAATTAAAACGTACTGCTTCCTTAATAGCACTTCTGAGCTGAGTGAGTTCTTGGAGCCCACGTAGATCACAAACGTGCTCATCTCACACTAGGACCGAAGGTTAGTGAACTAGTGTTCTATCTTTCCTGCTAATTTCCCCAAAAACGAATAAATTGCAACTAATTATTTGAACCAGCTGGGAGACGAGGAATACCAAACCTATTAAATGTGTTCAGTCTTGCTGTGTCTCTGAAACCATGCACTGGAATGTTAGCTGAAGTTGTGCTTTGTTAACGTTGTCTTCTGATTTTATTATGTGGTCCCGGCAGCTTGAGTGAATTTACTCCTCCAGTCTGAATGGTTAAATAGCTCTTAGAGGTGTCTCTCCTGACGTGGTGTTCTTTGGTATTAATTGTCACTTCCTAATAATATCCTACCTCATTTTTTAATTTTTCTTGCTATCATTTATACACTCCATTTAGCTCACTTCATTTTATTAAAGCCCTTGGTGTTCATTACCATAAGTAGTATTAAGTGAATTTCTGTTGCTGAACCACATGGAGGTCCTCTTCTTTTTGATTTTTTTTTTTCCTGGCTAACAAATTATTCTAGGAATTTTGAGAACAATAACACATCCTTTGCAGAGGATGAAGTGTATAGAAAAAAAGAAGTTTCAAGTGTTATTGATTCACCAGCTGTGACATTGTTTCCTGTCCTTTCTTTTCTGCTTCGGAAAGGGACTCATGTGGTTTGAATTTTTTGAATTTTTAAAAATTTTCTAGTCCTCCTTGAGGGGAAAACTGACTTCATCCTCATTAATAGCTGTGCCTTCTCTGGAGACACATCAGTGTAACGTCTCCACAGAGGCACTTACTCCTCTAAGTGTATCTGTGATCACCTCTGCCTGAAGCCAGCTCTTCCTTCTCATTCTTTTTCTTTAAACCTTGGAGAGGTTTCCTAACCTTTGCTGTGACCTCACACTGACAAACCACGTTGTCCCTTTGTAAACAGTAGCGTCATCTGCTCTGAAAGGTCACCTAAGGTAAGACTGGCTGAGTGCTGGCTAGTAAAACTATTGCTTAAACTGCAGGGTTGGGGTTTTTTCCCCCTCTTATTGCATTTTAAGAGGAAAACTCCTCCCACTGTTTGGCCACGCAGTGGATGCTGTGGTTTTAGTGAGCATGTGCCAAAACAGAGTTTTCTGTCCTGCCTGCATCCTAACGGTGTGTGAAGCAAAACAGACAAGAGCGTTGTTTGACTCAGATCTTTTCTCCCTCCATCCCTCCAGTGGCAGTGGTAGGTTAATATTTAACTGCTTCGGCGGAGTGAAATCCTCCTGAAATCTCATCTCCAAACTCCCTTTTCAAAGTAGCTGCACTTGAATTGCTGGGCCACGATAGCAAAGGTGAACTTTGTGCGAATTCCCACAAAGAAAGGCTTAATTTAGGGTTTCTGGAATTATCCTTTGTCCTCTGTCTCCTTTAAAGGAATTTTACTGAACAATGGGGGAATTTTTTCTAGAAGAGACTTATCGAGAAGGGGGCAAATGAGCCTGAGTCATCCTTTACAGCTGACAGATGTGTCCGTTTAAGTAAGGCACTACTCATGGCTTAAACATTGTTCACTCCCATTTTGTAAATGTACCAGCAGGGCTGTGGTTTGGCATTGGAGACCTGCGACTTGATGTAACATTTCGGCATCATGACATTCGCTTTGTATGTGGGGTTGTTTGGGCAGCTGATCAAC